ATATATATATATATATATATATATATATATATACACACATATATGAATATATACACAATATACACATACGTTCGCAGAAAATATAAATTTTATATTAAAATGTGACATAAAAAGAACATATTAATTCTTTACATTTCTATTATTAAGAAAATTCACTTTAATCACTTTAATTTGATGATATTTAATGAGTTTGATAGGAAAGGCGTTCATTAGAGATGAATAGACATCTCGATCGATGATGCCCGGGCGTAAATAAAGCAATAGAAAACGATAGAAACCTCCGGGCCATCTGCGGCACACATATGTTTATGCGAGCCACATACGTGTGGTGCTTCGCGAATGTTATATCGTTGCATGAGCTAACTACATCCTCAGTCGCTCACCCCGGCGCGCGCGTGTATGCAGCTGTTCTAGGGGGGGGGGCGAGAGAAAGGGGAAAGGGTGAGGGTGAAGCAGATTGCACGGTACATACATACAGCGAGAGCGTTTGACATTGCCTTCTGTTCTAGGGTTGTTCATTGTTATTCGGAAGACAGCCAGACAGTGCGCAGACTCACCTTGACGAAGTCAAGGCATTCCACTCTCAGAAATATATGATACATAATTAACGCAGTTTCGATGTTTTCCTAAAAAAAAAAAAAAGATAATATATGTCTCAAAATTTCAAAACTAAAATAGAACATTTTCTAAGGTATTTTTTAGGCTGACAATATTAGTAATTAACGCGTGCGAATATCCTTCGGTAACTCGCGTGTTTTTCTCTCACTATAGATATTAAAACTTCCCAGACCGATCGAAGAGATGCTTTTCGACGGCGGCAAATGTGCGGCAGAAACACGCACAAAAAACTAATAAGGAAGCTCCTCCATTTACCTGCATATACGAAACGTGACAGGAAGTCTCGAAACGAGGGGCGGGGGAGGGATCAAGTCGTTCGTGACCGCAAAAACCGGTGTTTTCGCGGTCAAGATTGCTTCCCCCCCGAACAGTGGCGGAGCAGCGAAATTAGGGAAAGGGCGGCGGCGATAAAAGTTACGCGACAAAAAAAAAAGGGAAGAAGAATCCGAGCAAAGGAAGGATATTCACCCAGCCGTGATTTCCCGTCTGTATCCGTTACTTCCCGCCAGATAAAAGATTATATACATACGAGTTGTCGTCGAGTTTTTCCGTATTTTTCGGCTCGTGTATTTCGTCGTGATTCGCGCGGGTGGTTACAAATAATATCGCGGAAAGGAAGACGCTCATTTCCTCAAGACGTTTGTTATATTTGCTCTAGCGACACGTTAATACTTAACGGAGCATTAACGGGATGCTCGATTTACTCTTATTTCCTGTCTGTTATACCAACACTTTACTATCGAAGGTTTTTCAACAGATATAAACACGGCACTTGTTATCGCAATAACTCGTATTAAATTTATTTAAATTTTCAATTATTTCCAACGTTTTCAAATAATATTTTTTTAAACTAAGAATTTCGAACAAAAACTTATATGCTGCGTGTTTTTGCAATTATAAATATAATTTTCTTAATCCAAGAATATGAAATAACAAGGCGTTACTGAACAAGTTGCTAGGTGTTATGTAGATGTATTTGGTTGATAAAATGTACAAACGTTTCGACTTTTGTTTAAACGTTTGTAAATTTTATCAACCAAATACATCTGCATAACACGTAGCAACTTGTTCAGTAACGCCTTGTTATTTCATATTCTTGGATTATTTTATTTCTGAACCTGAGGTCATTCATTGACAAGAACCATTATTTATAATTTTCTTACTTCCTCAAATCGTGTTTTTTTTTTTTTTTTTTTTTTTTTAACACAATTCGTGCAATTACAAATGTTATCTAACTTTCTTAAATCGTGTTTTTTAATTTTCTACCTAAATCGTGTAACTACACATCAACATTTAAATTAAATTTTTAATTTGATAATTCACATAAGATGCTAGTTTGCATCACGAATATGTGAAACACCCAATTTTTTATCTCCCCTCCTCTACCGCCGTGAAAATTAAAAACTTTATAACGGCGTTTTCTACTACTCGGTAAAAAATTTTTTTATACATACAGTTGCTGAAGATGATCACAAATATATACTGATCGAAACGTTCAATACACACCACACCGAAAAAATTGTATTCTTGTTTTGAGGATGTCCCACTTA